GCAAGAATTTTGCTAGTTTTTCATGACAGGGCTGATGAATCTGATGGCCATGACCTATCTGAGTTCTACGTTTATATAAAGCGTCTGCGCCTTTATCCTAATGTAGTGGCGCTGGGATCTACTTGCCAATGTCAATTTGCATTATAGGTGTGGTTACTGCCTGGACAAGCTCTGTGAAAAAGAGAAAGATTGCAGAGTTGGCTTCATCTCAAATGTCTGTGTCTGATTCACAGACATCTGTGTCTCCCTGAGAAATAACTTTTTCACAGAGCTGTCCAACAGAGGAATAAACCACTTCCTATGGGATTGAACCGCCCCCCCCCATGGGAAGTGGTCAGGCAGAGCCATTTGTCAGGGCTGTGGGGAAGGTGTTCCAGCACTGGATGGGGAGGTAGAGCCTTCCTGAGATTTGAGGACATCCCATTTATGATGGAGGTAACCTCCGGTCACACATGCTTACTGTAAAATGACTCCCAGAGAGGGTCTGCCATTTCACAGTGAGCCGTTTGGAGAAGCCAAGCTTTGGGTGTGTTCCAAAGTAGGATCCAATGGAAGACGTTTGTGTTGGCCTTTGCAACAAGCACTTAGTGCATGAAACCAACTCTAAGTCTCAGGTCACGTGGTGGAGCTACAGAGCAGAGCATGGTGGGCTGGCAGCCTAGAGCAAGTCTGAGTGGTATATTTACACTTTTTGGACAGAAAGCTGCTGCTATCCCCACACTGTCTGACATCATTATTTAATCGACTACTGAGCCAGCTCTTGGCTCTCAGATGTGTCTCCACTCCTCTGGTGCCCCCGTCCTCTCAATATCAACTCCGGGTACAGCTCACTGACCTGGAGGAAAGTGGCATTCTTAAGCTCTGCTTGCTGTCTTTTCCTCTGGAGGAAGTCAAACTCAGTGCTAAGCGTGAGCAGAACACCCAAGCTATTTATGTAGGATTTTGAAAAGCACAGGTCTGGGGCCTTGCTTGGGAAAGCAGAGAATGAAGAAAAGCAAATCCTCCTCTAAAAATGTGCTTTTGCCCAGAACTGCTTCTAAGTTAGGGAAGTTTCCTGAAGTCTGGGAGAGCTGGAGTGAGTGTTCTTCTCAAGTACAGCGTTTGGTGAAGTCCATGTGTGATAATACCACTGTAACCACAAAGGAATTTACCACAGGAAGTGTCCCAGCTGTTGCTGATTAGCATTAGAACGAATTACACAAAGCAAATTGTTAGCAGACATGTTTCCATAATATTTAACCGGTGGCCATAAATAGGAGCGATTCTCTTTCAAGTAAATGCTAGATTTCCAAAAATCCAGCTTCTAATTGTCCGTGAAGGAATTGTCTTCGATTAGGATAACGATTGGAGAGAAGGACGCCCTAGATGCTGAGGTTCCCAGGGCTGGAAGCTCAGGTGCTGTATGTGAGTGTAGCAGGGCATTGCTGCTGGGGTGACATTGCAAGATGGAAACAGGAATGTTTGTACCTCTAGATGTCTGACCATCTGCTGGATTCACCTCTGGGTTCTCAGCATGGTCTTCTCATGCCACAGGGAATATGGTCGTGGCAACAGCAGCAGAGCTGGGCAGCCACTCAGCTCTTGGAGTGTTTATGACAAAAATAAACCACACCCACAGACAGGTTTTCACTCCTCTCCTTAACAAGATATTCAGTTTTTAAAAAATCATCTACTCCTTCACAATCCCATGTCTTGTTATCCGAGGTTTAAAAAAAAATGTGAGTCAAAGCTCCTCGTGCTCTAACCCCGCTGGAGAAGAGTTGTAAAGTGCCCAGTCAGAGCAAACATCGGACAGCATGCACCTTCTCACACGTATGAAAACCTGGCTATTTCTTTAGAAAGAAAGCAGAATGTTTCCATTTTTCAAGACCTTCTGACAGTGACTAAATTTGAGTCCCTGATCACCTCTTGATATTTCCAGTTATCTCAGAGATATGATAAAATTCTCCTAAAACAATCAAAAAATAATTTAAAAAATAATTTTAATTAAAAAAAATAAGAAATATTCCATACAGCACATAAATACAAAAATAGGTTATTGCAGCTTTAAGGGTTGGGACTATTAGAAGAGGTGCTGTTCTGTTGTTTTCCTAAGAAATCTATAGTTTTGTCTTCCCTCCCTCACTAGTTTCCTTCTCAAGCAAATCAACCTTAGCTCAGTATTCCTTCCCAATGTATTTTAATATTATATTTGATTCTCCTGAGAGCTCTTCACTCTTTTTTTCTGCTGAAAGGAAATAAACTTGTCAGCCCTGGGAGCCCCGTGTATGCACTAAGAAGGCTGTTCCCTGCCCAGTGGGCTCCCTGGCTAGGCCTCTCCCCTCAGCCACACGTTAGCTTGGGACATCCAGTCAGCACCTGAGGGGGGCAGGCCCAGAACCCCAGAGCCGTCCCCCAGCTGCCACCAGGGTGCACCTTGCTGACATTAGCCAGATACCTAGTAGCAACAGCCTACAGCAGGTTTGGCCTCTGTGTTACAAAGCTGGGGAGGTATTTTTAACCAAGCAAATGTAATCGTTGATATACTCCCAGCCACTTCCTAAGCCTCTTCCAACTACACTGTCAGGAAATACACACACACACACACACACACACACACACACACAAAACCCACATCTTCTACCTGAAGTCTTCACAAAGGGAATAATGTGCCTCATGAAATATTTAAAATGCCTTAGGCAATAGAATTGTCTGTAGATTTTTTAAAAAGTCTTTAACAGACAGGCACAATTGGAAATGTTTAGAACATGAACACACACACACTCACACTCTAATTTGTAATTATGCAAAACTATATCATTATTCGCCACAACCTGAAGCAAAGCTACTGCAATGGAATACCAACTACAGTATCTGCCCTAGTGTGAGGCCCCCAGATAAGCTCGCATTTGCACGAGAGGGACACACGTGGCCTGACTCTTTAAGGCCCGTTTAGAGGAAATGGCCTGGCATGTTTCACATTTGCTAAGCTAGTTAGCCTCCTGCTTTGACAAGATTTTTCAAAGGGGTGAAAATTAATTATAATTGCAGTGCTGCTACAATAATTTGGTCGGCTGATTGCATTTCAGTGCAAAAACAGGCAGGGAAGAATTTCCTCCCTGCGTTAGTCTCTGATATGGCAGCATTCATTTTAAGGGTAATGAGATTTTTAAAAAGTCGAACCTCAAATATCATGGCTTCAGCAATCTGTCCTGCTTAAAGTTTAATGCAAAATGAGATAGCACCTCCGTGAGACAGTGAACACGTGAACACTGATCCAGTTTTCTCCTAGACTTGAGATGGGAAAGTCTCTCTCCCCTAAAAACTCCTCAAAATATCTTTGACACTTTTTGGGGAAGATTTTAATTTAGGGGCACCAAAGTTCATGTTTTTGCAGTGAGATAGGCACTAGTGAGAGTGGGTAGGAAGATTTGAAAGACTCTAAACGAGGTACATGTTGGCGGAATAGGCACTACAAGTTTTAGGATTGAGCAAAAATAGTGGACTGAGAAACCTGGGTTGTCGTGGAGTTTTCTGGATCTACTGTTTTCACACTGGCAGTTCTGAATACATAAACTCTCCATGGCTTTTTGAGGGAGATTATCTAACTCTCGACCAGCAGTGAACACTATAACAAACTTTGAGGGACAGAGTCAATATATCACTTCAAAATCTTTTAGACTCTTTCCCAAGACCTGATTCAGGGGAGTTTGGTGAGGTGCCAAAACCAGCAGACATTAAGCTGTTCCAACCTGATGACTCAAGCTCAAGTCAGGGGGAAGTTTAAGACTTTCTCCTCCTTCCCTTCTCTGTCATGCTTTAAGTCCAGCCGCTATTTGTGTGTCTAAAAAGGCTTTTGCTAAGATGTGCTTTCTCAAATATCACTCATCAACGTGGATCTAACAGCAGGGCGTGGAATGTTTCTTATCGTCTTCATTTAAATTCTAACTGATTTACAGAGGGTCAATATGCAAATCTACCCAGGGCTGCCCACAAGTTTGTACAGGTCATGTCCTGCACAAGGGTACCTGGTTGAGGGGTGATGGGGCTAAAGTCCCACCCTGCTCCACTCACCCGAGAGACCCCTGCTGAGGCTGCATCTGGGAGGAAGGTGTGCATTTTCTAATTTGCATTTGGGCCAAGGGAGGCTCTGAGTTTTCTTTGATCCTCATCCTCCCAGACATCGCAAAGTCTAGTATTCATTTCCTCACCTCCAACACAATGGATGTTTTTTAAGTAAGAGGATATGCCCATGGCAAAGGTGAATTCATTTTGAAGATATGTTTCCTAATCAGTGAGAGAGAAGGAAAAAAGGAGAGAGGGAAAGAGAGAAAAGAAAAGGATAAAAAGAAGAATGGAGACAAGATTGCCCTTCTGCCTAGTGAATTGTAGATTCATCGTCCTTCCCTGGACATAGCTGCAGAGGGGTAGAAAATCAATTTTTTTCTATTACTCCGCAGTGAGGAAGGAAAACCTATTTGTAAATTGAATTAAACCCAATAATAGCATGTCTGTGTATTTGTTCAGGACTAGAAAAAGTAGCCACAGATACAACTACATAATCCAGCAATGTAACTAGAAATCAACACTCTCCCATTTCAAAGATTAGTGGAGACATTTTTCTTCTTCTTTTTTAAAGAAACACTCATGGCTAAATGTCACTAAGACTCTTCGGCGTGCCAACACATCAACACCTCAGTAAGGACTCTGGAAGGGAAGGAACTCCAAAGCCCCATCTGGGAAGAACATACTTCCAAATTCTTGCCTTCGCTGCTTGTGCATCTCAGTCATCAATAATGATTGGATACGAACTAGAACCTTCTAGAAGACAGTTTCTTCTCAAGTTACAATCTGTGGTGCTGACTGTGGAATAAATTCCCTATGTCTGTGTAAGCTAGATCTCATTCACAGAAACCCTAACCCATCTACTGAGTACCGAATTACCAGGCTACTGCAGTGAGGGTCCTGAAATTTCATTAGCAGTCTGCCCTCTAGTGGGGCAACACAGTACTTCAGATAACTAAGACTAGAAAAGATTTTTTTTCCTCTCTTTCAGAGAGCAAAAGAATTCAAGTTTTCCAGATAGTGCAAGGTGAGGCGTTTATCCTCAGAAGACAGCTTCCAGAGCTGAATCAAACAAGGCTCACAATGACAGGTCGCCGGGTCAGAGTTAAAGACAGGTTGTGCTGTGGTGGGTGTCCCTGCAGAGCCTGCAGAGACAAAAGTCCTTCTCATATCTTTTGAGATCCTTCTCCTTGAGCGATGGCATCCGGTTCCCCATTCTCTCATTATAAAAACAGGACCCACTCTAAGAGCAACCAACCTATCAAGAATGTTAAAAACAATAGGCTTTTTTGCAATTTTTTGGCAAATCATTAATACAGAGGAGCCTTTCAAAAGGGCCATGTTGAATTTTTTAAAAAGCAAAGATGCACAAGTTTTATAAAAAGACCAAGTCTTTGTGGCTGTTATTTTTAAGAAGAGAATCTATTCTGTGATGGTGGCTGGATGTTGGTAAGGCAGAAGATGATCTTGAGATCTCTTATCTGGATTTTGCTTCTATCTTCTCAAAACCTTCAGAACTTGGCTTGCTTCAGCTTATCAATATGGTAGCAGAGTTTCAGCGCAGGTCCCAGCTTCAGGCCCAAGTATTTCATGATCATGTCACTCTTCAGCAACAAGAGAGCATTGCCGTCAATCTCCTGGTGGAAGAAGATCAGAAGAAAGAAAACCCAGAAGATGGTCAGAGCAGTCAAAGTGTGGCTGTGGTTAAAGTGTGGTCAGGGGATGAGATAAGGAAATATAGATTTACCATACATATTCTCTTAGTCCCAAGGCAAGATCTTCTTGAAAAAATAAATTAAAGCAAACAATGCTATGTATTCCTCTTCCCATCATCTCCCTGGGGTCATTTGATACACTGGATCTTTCATATTCCTGCTCTCTCCTGATAGAAGGGCCCAAACATAACCCCAGCCATGTTCCCAATATCGCACATATGATTTTATCTCCTTATCCAATCTAGAGCTAACGGAGCAAGATGTGTGCAAGGGACTGAATGTTTGTGTCTCCCCCTCACATTCATATGTCGAAATCCCAACCCCCAATGTGATGGTATTTGGAGGTGAGACCTTTGGGAGGTCATTAGGTCATGAGGGTAGAGCCCTCGGTGAGTGGGATTAGTGTCCTTATACAATGAGAAGATGACAGTCTGCAACCCAGAAGCGGGTTCTCACCAGAAGCAGAACATGCTGGCACCCTGATCTCGGAATTCCAGCCTCCAAAACTGAGAAATAAATTGCTGTTGTTCATAAGCCAGCCAGTCTATGGCACTTTGTTACAGCAGCCTGAACTGACTAAGACAAAGTGTCATCCATCAGACCCTGAAACTAGTGGTTACCTTTCCGTTCCAGGTGCTGGTCTAAGGCCCTGACTTCCATCCATCACTCTAATCTCTTGTTTCTTTTCTTGGTAAGCCTACCTACCTTTAGCTGATTATCAAATTGCTAATTACACTCTATGAGGGATTTCAGGTGTCTTTTGGCCCTGTCAATAATACTAGGTGGCATAAAACTAAATAGTGCACCTGCTTCTATCCTAGGGTTTAGCACAAAGAGCTACGAAGGGAATGCCAATGCCTTGAGGTCCTGGTATTGTTCCCTTTTGTGTCTGAAAATGGTAACCCTCCAGAATGCAGGTGGAATTCATGAACCTAGGAAGGCTAGGTTTCCTTGTTCATCTGTGGTGCTATTTTCAGGTCACTGGGGACAAAGGTAGAAATTTGGAGTGCTCAGATAGGGAGAAGAGGCACAGTTACAAGACTCATATAACTGTGCAAGGGTCACCAGCCCTTCTTACTCATCTATCCAGCCAGCCAGCATTGATGAAGCACCTGCTCTGTGTCACGCACTCTCCACGACCTTGGCAAAACGGCAGAGTGGGCGAATCTCACTCGTGGGCCCTTCCAGGGGCCTCATTGCCTAACGTTCTCACTTCACCCCACCTCCTGGACTTCCTGGACTTCCACCACCTCCTGCCACTCTGGAAGAGAGCCAGACTCCTCCACCCAGATCTGTCTTAGCATAACCCACACTGTGGTCCTTGCTCTCAAGGCCCCACTGTTAGGTGAGGTCAAATATATCTCTAATAAAATGTGAGTGTCGGGTTAGATGAGGATCCTCCCTAGATCTGAGACTATGATTTCCATGACAGAATCACCAAATAAAATAAGAGCCAGGAAGGAAAAAACAATGGTAACCGTGGTAGGCAGAATAATGTTCCCCCCAAGATGTCTATGTCCTAATCCCCAAAACCTGTGAACATGTTAGGTTACCTGGCAAAGGGGAACTAAGGTTGTAGATAGAATTAAGGCTGCTAATCAGCTGACTTTAAAACAGGGAGAGTATCCTGGATTATTGGGGGGAAGGGTCCATGTAATCGCAGGGTCCTTAAAAGTGTAAGAAGAATCAGAAGAACCAAAGAGCTCACAGCCTGGGAAGGACTCTGCCCGATGTTATTCGCTTTAAGGATGGGGTATACGAGCCAAGAAATGAGAGCGGATCAAGATGCCGGAAAAGGCCAGGAAATGAACTCTTCCCTAGAGACTCCAGAAGGAAGTCAGCCCTGCCGACACCTTGATCTCAGCCCAGTGAGACCCTGGTCAGATTCTGACCCAATGACCTGTAAGATAATAAATTTGTGTTGTTTTAAGCTATGTTTGTGGTAATTGGTTATAGCAGCCATAGAAAACTGACATGGTAAGCTTGGCAGGTAAGGTATTAATTCTTACCTTTTTTTTTTTCATTTACCATCCTTATATATTGCAGAATCTCCTAAATAATTATAAGAATACCTGCTAACTGAAGGCTATCTATGGGCCAGGCCCCGAGCCAAACACTTCATACGCATTTTCTCATTTAAGCTTCAAAGTGGCTTAGAAACAGGCACTATTACAGTCTGTCAGGCATATTGTGCGTGTGCTGTAAATGTTTGTCGAATGCACAGACAGACGGACAGATGGCCAGGAAAACAGGCACTCCTGATAAAGGCCAAAATGAGGGAACTGATGGGACAAATATCCCTTAAAAACAAAACTAAGTGGTTGTTCTGCTCTGAGAAGCCTGTGGTTCCGTCTGGCCTCCCTCGAGTGTGCCCCCAGGGCTTAGTTCAGACCCCCACCCCACCTCTGCAGCCTGCAGCTCCCTCCTTCCATACCTCCCCCTACGTGCTTCTCCCCTCCCGGGCCAAGCCCACCATGCGCATACATGCTTTCTGAAGAGCTCCACATGAGGCCCCAGAGCCTGCGGGTCGGCGTCTTTCACGAACCAGACCACGTCCTCCACGGTCCAGGTGGAGGGGTTCCTGCTCCTCGGCCGCCTGGCGTCCTGCCCGTCTGGAGAAGGGCTTGAGGCTGGACGGGTGGGCATAGAGAAGGAGACCATTAGACACCAGGACGAGGACCTCAGCGCCTACCTGGGGCTGCCTGCTCCCCCCTGGCCCTCGAGTCCAAGGCAGTGGCCTGAGTGACCTCCTGTGACAGAGAAAGCCTGTGAGTGGCTGCTCTCGTCAGGAGCCTGGAGCACGGGGAGGCCACTCCTGGAGGCAGACCCTCTCCATGTATGCAAAAGTTCTCTGCTCTCCCAGGGAAAAGAACATTAGGAAATCGATTTCCTTCAACAGCTGAAATTCTGATTCACGCTAGAGTTTTAAAGGCCCCTCCTGCTCAGTTCTATCTGAATGGGCCATGGGCCTCCGGTAACTGGGTACTTGGTGACCAGAGAAAGCTTGCTGAGGTGAATGTCCAAATGGGCCTCTGTAGTGCTGTGAGGCCAAAATGACTTCAGGTCCTCCACTGGCATTACACTGAGACAATAAAGACGCAGCAGAATTGAGGTGCATTTTGGTCCTCGTTCTGAGTCTCTGATGCCTCATCCTCAGAACCCCAGTCTGTGAGGCGTCCATCCCCTGCTCCTCATGTGCGGAAAGAAGACCTTGTCTCACTCAGCACCTGAGGTACATACTGAGTGCCTCCATGGCCGCCTGGTCTGTCAGAGTATGTACTCCAATCCGCCCCACTAGACTGGGAAATCCTGGAGAGCAGAGGGCCTAATCCTGTGCCTGATCCATAGCTGATCCTTGATAAATGATTGGTGCACGAGTTGCAGTGTTGCATAAATGCATTTCCCACAGGGCAGATTGAAACAGGACAAGTGAAGGAGGAAGAGAGTAATGAATCAGATGCCCAGCAATATTTAGGGGTTGACTGTTTTGTATGTCCCAAACGAACTCATCCTCTTTCCCCAGAATCAGCTTCTCCTCTTATCTCTCATGTTTCTGAAACCTCCGTAATATCTCTACCTCCTGCCCCTCATTTGCTCCCCACATTTAATTATTCTGACTCTCTTGGACGGATGCCTCTCACACTGGTCTCCTCCCTTCCAGCCCTGCTGCTCCAATCCGAGAACCTTTTACTCAAACCCCTGCAATGGTTTTCTAATGAGTATCTCTGCCTGGGCTCTTTTCCTTCTAGAGCAAAACTGCCACTGCCTCATGCTCTCCCTGGACCCAGCTCTGTCCGTGCCACTTGTGGATGCCCCCTGCCTATGCACTGAGTCCATAGCTCAATGTCAAGGGCTCTCTTTGGTCTCAATAATATCTTTCCTTCCCAGGTGGAGGCGAAGAGCTTCGGTGTCAGAGAGAAGTAGGGGCAAATCCTAGGGCTGCCCTTTGCTAGTGATTTGACCACGACTCGCCCCATGAGCTGTAAAATGGCAATGCTCTCTGCCTGGAAGGCAGGCGCGAGGACAGAAACGGGCCTGGCCCTATGGCTGACCTGCATCAGGTGCTCCACAGAGGGAAGGAGGCGCCCGGTGCCCTGTCTGCCTCCCCTGCCCTCTTGCACACCCCCATCTGGGCACACTGGTTGTGACCTGGATGTTTCCCAGTGTCCCTTCTTCACCTTTAGTGCCATCGAGTCCATTCCAACTCCTAGTGACCCTATGCACAGCAGAGCAGAACCCCGACCCGGTCTTTCTGCACCAGTCTCGCACCTTCCAGTGCTATGTCAGCAATGCTCCGCTGCTATTCATGGGATTTCACAGCCCATTTTTTGGAAGCGGGTGGCCAGGTCTTTCTTCCTAGTCTGTCTTAGTCTGGAAGCTCTGCTGAAACCTGTCCACCGTGGGTGACCCTCCTGGTATTTGAAATACCAGCGGCATAGCTTTCAGCATCACAGCAACAAGCAGCCTCCACAGTATGACAACCAACAGACGGTGATGTGGTTCCTTGACCGGGAAATGAACCCGGGCCATGGTGATGAGAGCACCAAATCTTAACCCATGGACTGCCAGGGCTGGCTCTCCACCTTTAGCTGCTTCTCTCTAGAAGGCGTTTACCCTCCCTCCTTTCCACAGAAGTTCCACCAGCCATCAAAGCCCAGGTAGACTCCTTCCCAGGCAGCATTTCTGTGTCCTGCAATCTGGATGTCACCTTCCTCTACCTTTAACCCCCAAATCTTTGTTTGTTCTTCTCTTAAGATGCTTTCCACATTCTGCCTTGTGTTACAATTGTGCGTGTACTTGTCTGCAACCTCCAGTTAGATTTTAATTTCTTGAGGATTTTATAAATAGCAGTGGAGCAGTGTCTGATATGCCAGGAAGGTGAGAAGATGGTGCAAAAATACCGGGTCAGGGTTCCGCTCTGCTGTACACAGGGCCGCCGGGAGTCAGACAGGACCCACGATGATCTTTTTCGTCTTCCCCCCATCCATTCCATAAACATCTAGTGAGCATCTCTTTGTACAGGGTCCTGGGCAAAGTGTTTGGTGAAAAATGGGATCCTCTCATTACAAGGTTTATAATCATGGGCTCCTCCATGGCTCTAAGTAAATATATTTATAAATATGGGTTTGACAAAGGTTAAATGAATCAATATACTTTGCAGAAACAGTATGAATAAGTTATGTGTGGGTAATCCTTAATCCTATTTTCGGGCCAGAAAAAGTCAAGGCTCTGAACAATGAAGCAGCTTCCTGTAGAATAATTCTGAATTAGAAGTTGAGAAGCCGTCACTTCCATTTCCCTTCTTTAATCTCAGGGTGCAGCGGTTTTCTGCTGTCTCTGTTTTCTTCTTTTTAATGTGCTTGAGAAGTGCACAGTTCTCCATTAGTGCTGAGAAAAGCACAGCATCACGTTTCCGAGTCTGTCCTAAATACAGAATGGTTTGGTTGAGAATCAGATTTACTTTGCGATTTTCCCTGCCTTTTCCTCATTGGACCTGGAGGGGTCCCCTGAGGTGGTTTGGCACAGGGCATTTTGCCGGGAAACCGTTAATTCACCCCAGGGCCATCTGAATGCTGATGCACGCTTATTAGAGGTGATTTCACTGCATTTGAAGACATCTGCTCTCGACATGGGGACGAGGAATCACGGCAATCAGGTTCGCCTTTGGATTCCGCCCCATCGGAGCTTCGGCGTTAATCAAGGTGATAATAGATGCTCTCATTCCAAAGGCTGAAAGTCTTTGGTGCCAGGAACGATTTTGGAGTGATCAGAGCAGAGGTCACATCTAATTTCCTGTATTTGATGGGAAGGAAAACTACCAGGCCGATTCACAGCACCATCCACGAGAGCCTAAGTTCCTTCCAGCAAGGTCAAGGAAGTACTTTCCCATCGGCCGCAACGTTGGGTTGAGCAAGGGGGCTGGCATGTCTTTATGGAGGAGGCTCTCCAGGTGATGGCTGTGGAGGGAGACAGCCCAGCCGGGAAAGCGGCCTCGCTCCTGACACCTGGTGCTTGCCGGGGGCATTTTTCACTTTCCCAGGATGGAACTACAGCAGCCAGGCCCGGCTCAGGAGCCTCTCCGAGGGGACCTTTTAGTCATACAAGACAGAGAGCAGCAGGAAGCCTGCCACACCTCCGTAGTTGCTCAAGATCCAAAGCACATAAACTCTCTCTAGAAATGGAACTTTCCAGCGGCAGGTTTGTAAAGCTTTTGCAGTGGTCTGTGCTCACAAAGATAATAAATACACTAGCCCCGCCCACCTGCTGTGAAGGTGTCAGGAAGACAGATGGGTCCCCCCTGACACTGCCAGGCCAGCAGATGTGATTGGACAGCGGTAAGACATGATGGATGTGAAAAAATCTTGCTCCTGAAGGAACAGAGCATGCAAAGCGCTGGCCAAATGCCTTTGTGGGAAGGCAACATTCTCCAGCACAGAGAACTTTGTGTATGGTTGTGTCTGTTCACTGTGGCTGCTGGAGACTTGTGAAAAGTGAAACCCAGCTGTGAATGTATCTGTAATTAAAGAAAGTTCTTGTTGTTTCTAAAGCTGAACTCACGTTCACCAAGAATAGTATGACTATGAATCCGTGTTTAAGGCAGTCCAGGACATTTTCACAGCACTTGTACTGCTGTCTGTGAGTCTCTCCCTCTCTCTCTCTCACACATACCCACAAGCACATAGATAACTTCCTTTGCTCATTCATAAATCAGAGAAAACTTTTTAGCTAACAGTAGAGTCATGTAGAAGAATAGATGAGCAATGATCTGGGAGTCAGAAATCTCTACCACCCACCAGCTATGTGAGCATCCCTGTACTTCTCAGGTGTGATATAAGGGAGTTGGGAAGGGTCTCTGGTAGCTGGAGCTCTAAGGTCCCTCCCTCCTATGATGGTGTATAGTCCCTTCATACCACAGGCTGTCCCATCATCGCTGTGTCCATGTGCAAAGCACACTGAATGAAGAGCCAATGGCCAGGCTTCTAGCCCCTTCCTGGCCCTGATCATTCTCTTTGGGCCTCAGTTTCTTCATCTTGTTTCTCAAGAGTATTGCAAGATTCAAGTGAATATGTGGCTTTGGGCTGGAGGCTGATAAGAATGGAAGCCCATCAGTCTCCAAAAGTGACCCCTTGGTGTCCTTCCTCAGGCTGACTATAGGTCCCCTTGCCCTCTCAGCCTCTCTGGTAGCTGGAGCTGGGTTGGGAGGGGAGGGGCGTGAAGGCAAGGGGAGTGTAGATCTGTTCTCAACTCCTTCTAGTGACCTGGTCCTCACAGAATGTATCCTTCCTAGAAACAAGGCCATGCAGAATGTATGAGGTCCCCAGGCTAGCCCACAATCTGGGCAACATCAGGTAGTTTGAAACAGTGTGTTTTCCATTATTTCTATTACAAGAATTTTCAAGACACTAGGAGGTGAGAGAGATGGGAGATAGAAAAGAACCTGACCAATCCTTAGATTTTAATCAGGTTTTTCTTTTATTCCTTCAAGACTGGCTGACATGCTTGTATCAGAAGAAAGGATGCCTCTAGAGACAAGGAGAGACCACAGGCTTGAATTGAAGCCAAGCTGCACTGGATTCCTTCTCTGCCACCACAGACACTGTGACCTCTGGACAAGCAATTTGACCTCTGC